CACAACCTGGGGATCACAACCAGACACAGTGAAGACATCTGCCCTTGCGCTATGCTACTCTACTGCTGAGTATGCACGCCCAGTGTGGAACACATCTCACCAAGCTAAAACAGTGGATGTAGCTCTTAATGAGACACGCCGCATTATCTGCGCCCTACACCACTGGAGAAATTACACTGTTTAGCCGGTATTGCACCACCTGACATCCACCAGGAAGTATCAGCCAATAGTGAAAGGAGCAAGGCAGTGACATCTCCAGCTCATCCCCTGTTTGGATATCAGCTAGCACGTCAATGACTTAAATCAAGAAATAGTTTTGTAAGATCTACAGAGACACTTGCTGGAACACCTCAGCAAGCGAGAGTCCAAAAGTGGCAGGCTCAAACCCAGAACCTCAATCAATGGCTGATACCAAATGAGAGACTCCCCCCTGGGCACACAGAAAACTGGGCGACTTGGAAGGCACTGAACAGACTGCGCTCTGGCACCACAAGATGCAGAGCCAACCTTAAGAAATGGGGCTACAAAGTGGAATCCACGACATGCGAGTGTGGAGAAGAGCAAAATACAGACCACCTGCTGCAATGCAACCTGAACCCTGCCACATGCACAATGGAGGACCTTCTTGCAGCAACACCAGAGGCACTCCAAGTGGCCAGCTACTGGTCAAAGGACATTTAATCAACTACCAAGCTTGCAAACTTTGTATTTTGTCTGTTTGTTTGTTAAAAAATGCAACGCAACTGTTCGGTCTACTCCTGACACGATAAATAAATTGTTGTTGTTGTTGTTGTTGTTGTTGTTTCCTGCACAAAGAACAACCCTTTCTGCTCAGAAATTAGCCTTTCTGCATTGAAATATTAGTTTTCATGCCGATGTATTCTTTTCCTTACTTCCTGCACAAAACATGCAATTTTCTGTGCAAAACAACTTCACCTTCACACAATGTTTATGCAAAATATGTCCTTAACTGCAAACAGTCTTGTCAGTCCAAGATTCTTTATTTCAAAATGTATGAACATTTGGAAATAACTATTTTTTCCTGTCTATCCCTACTCAGTAACTTCCACTAGGGGAAGGGAAGAGAACGGAGGGGCAGAATCTCCCCCTTCCCTGTAGGTTAAGGCAAAAGAAAATTATTTCCTGACTTTTATGTCCTTTGTGGCAACTTTTAATCATTTTGACCACTCTCTGATGTTGCCTGGCCACAGATGGCATTTGTAACTGAACAGTGCTCCAATGGGCCAAATTCCTTACTGGAGTGGCGTACAGGAAGCACACAACACCATTGCTATGCCAGCTCTACTGGCTGCCAGTTTGCAACCAAGCAGAATTCAAAGTGCTGGCTTTAGCCTATAAAGTCCTCAATGGTTCCAGCCCAGCTTAGCTGTCTGAAAATGTCTCCCTCTATGAACTATTTCAGAGGTTAAGATCTTCTAGGGAGTCCCAGCTCTCGGTCCCACCACCTTTGAGGGCAGGACTAGTGAGGATGACAGACAGGGCCTACTCAGTGGTGGCCCCTCAGCTGTGGAACTCCCTCCCCAGTAAAATTAGATCAGCTCCTTCCCTCCTGACATTCAGAAAGAAATTAAAAGTATGGATGTGGGACCAAGTCTTTGGCCAGTAGTTCTCAGTGCAATAAGTGAAGATGGAATCATGCAATTTACAACCGGAAATGGCTCCTGGACTATGCTTTTGGATTGTGTGGTTTTGATAATTGTTTTTAAGCTTGAGATGTTTTTAACTTTTGGGTTTAATGTGTGTGTATAGTATGTATATGCAGCATCGAATCAGGCCTTTTTGTAAGCTACTCTGAGCCCTCTTTGGGGTGAGAAGGGCAGGGTATAAATACAGTAAATAAATATATGGCTTCTTTTTTTTTTTGTCTTGTCAGGAGCGACTTGAGAAACTGCAAGTCGCTTCTGGTGTGAGAGAATTGGCCGTCTGCAGGGACGTTGCCCAGGGGACACCCGGATGATTTGATGTTTTTTTATCATCCTTGTGGGAGGCTTCTCTCATGTCCCCGCATGAGGAGCTGGAGCTGATAGAGGGAGCTCATCTACCTCTCCCCGGATTCGAACCTGCGACCTGTCAGTCTTCAGTCCTGCCGGCACAGGGCTTTAACCCACTGCGCCACGGGGAGCTCCATAATATATGGCTGATACATAGGTAGATAGATGGGTGGGTAGGCTGATAGAGAGAGAGGGGGGATTATTTATTTATTTATTTACAGATTTTATATTCTGCCCTTCTCACCCCGCAGGGGACTCAGGGCGGATTACAGTGTACACATATATGGCAAGCATTCAATGCCAATTTTTGACATACAAACATATACAGACATACACAGAGGCTATTTAACTTTTTTCTGCCCGCCAGGGGAGCTGTCACTTTCATCGTCCATCTGTGATGCTGATGAAGCATTTCCGCATTCCCCGCTTGCTTCCCCGCTGGAATGCTTTTGCTGGAGTCTTCTTTATGGCCTAATAAATCAGTTAATTTAGCCTCCCCACACTTTTTAAGGTGGTACCTAATTTTCCTACTTGACAGATGCAACTGTCTTTCGGGTTGCAAAGGTCGACAACAGGCTACACACAATTGGTTGGAAACCCACTCCAACCCGGGCTGGCTTCGAACTCATGACCTTTTGGTCAGAGTGATCTTAATGCAGCTGACACTCAGCTAGCTGTGCCACAATCCTGGTATATAGGCAATTATACAGAGATTGATTAATGATTGATAGATAGAGCTGTATTATTGTCATGGTTCATTGCAGCTGGTCTATATTTTGAGGGTCTCCTGCAGAAATTGGCCACCATCGTGAATGAACATGTCAGCATTTCCTATACTATAGGAATAACAATGGCTCTCCAAGATCTCAAGAAAAGAGAGAAAGAGTTCTCTTGGCATCGGCACTATCCTTGCAGAGATTTAATAGGCAAATATGAAAAAGAGTGAACCAGGCATCTTCAGTCTGCAAACCATCCATCCATCTACTCAATTTTGTACGAGCATTGCGTGTTTTAAAGCTTATACCTCTAGGATTTGCAGTTTTCCTGCTGGCGATGTTACCCATCAGATAAAAAGTCCAAGCTTCTGAGTTACCCACATATGGGAAGCTTCTATCTCATAACCAGCCCCCGCCCTCCAATCCCACCTACACATAACATTGTTTGCTTTCTCCGCAGAATAATGTCTTTCAGCAATCTGTTTCTGCAGTATCTGCAGATTCTGGTGACAGCAGTCAAACACTAGAAGGAATTGATTTGTTTTCCACCTTCTTCTCCCTCCAGCCCCTCCTCTTTCCTCTTCCTTTCAAAAACAAAAGCCCAGGGGACAGCGAGGAGATGGAAAACCTCATGGTGGAACAAGGTCTTTTGCTAATAGCACCAAGTTTAGTAGTAAGATGTGGGTCCAGCTGCACCTTTCTCAGCTTAGTATGGAAACGATTCACTGTTTTCTCTGGATTGGTTCTTTACTTCTTTTTTCTTTCTCAATTTTCCATCACTTTCCTCCCTGAAGCATCAACTGCATACCTTTTTGTTTGTTTCTGCATTCAATGTCCTTGTGTGCAGTTGCTGATCTAGTTCATTGACATGCCCCATCTCTATGACCCGTTAAGAACAGTGAGCTTGCTAGCAATCCCTTCATTGCTAGTTAGGCCTCACAACTTCTGAGGATGGGCAAAATGTCAGAAGAGAATGCTTCTGGAATCATAGAATCAAAGAGTTGGAAGAGACCTCATGGGCCATCCAGGCCTAGAGGCAGGAATATTGCATTCAAAGCACCCCTGACAAATGGCCATCCAGCCTCTCTTTAAAAGCTTCCAAAGAAGGAGCCTCCACCACACTCCGGGTCAGAGAGTTCACTGCTGAATGGCTCTCACAGTCAGGAAGTTCTTCCTAATGTTCAGATGGAATCTCCTCTCTTGTAGTTTGAAGCCATTGTTCTGTGTCCTAGTCTCCAGGACAGCAGAAAACAAGCTTGCTCCCTCCTCCCTGTGGCTTCCTCTCACATATTTATACATGGCTATCATATCTCCTCTCAGCCTTCTCTTCTTCAGGCTAAACATGCCCCGCTCTTTAAGCCGCTCTTCATAGGGCTTGTTCTCCAGACCCTTGATCATTTTAGTCACTCTTGTCTGGACACATTCCAGCATGACAATATCACTCTTCAATTGTGGTGCCCAGAATTGGACACAATATTCCAGGTGTGGACTAACCAAGGCAGAATAGAGGGGTAGCATTACTTCCCTGGACCTAGACACTATGCTCCTATTGATGCAGGCCAAGATCCCATTGACTTTTTTGCCGCCACATCACATTGTTGGCTCATGTTTAACCTGCTGTCCACGAGGACTCCAAGATATTTTCCACACATACTGCTCTCAAGCCAGGCGTCCCCCATTCTGTATCTTTGCATTTTGTTTTTTCTGCCTAAGTGGAGTATCTTGTATTTGTCCCTGTTGAACTTCATTTTGTTAGTTTTGGCCATTCATCTCTCTAATCTGTCAAGATCGTTTTGAATTCTGCTTCTGTCCTCTGGAGTATTGGCTATCCCTCCCAATTTGGTGTCGTCTGCAAACTGGATGATCATGCCTTTTAACCCTTCATCTAAGTCATTAATAGAGATCCTGAACAGGACCGGGCCCAGGACGGAACCCTGCAGCACTCCGCTTGTCACTTCTTTCCAAGATGAAGAGGAAGCATTGGTGAGCACCCTCTGAGTTGGTCCATTTAACCAATTACAGATCCACCTCACCGTAGTTTTGCCTAGCCCATGGCCATACAGCCCCAAAAACTCACAGCAACCCAATCCCTTCATTGACATTTGCTCCCCTGGCTGCATTTTAGCCATTCATTTTTGGGAAGCATTCCCCTTTTCCTGAGGTCCATTTGATGGTCCTTCTGCCTTACTCAGTTCTACAATGATCACCCAATGCAGACCCAACCAAAGAAGGTAGACATTGAACCCCTCAGAGATGCATCAACAGGACCTACCTTGGCTGGGTTGACTGCTGTTATCACCCACACACAGTAGGCATTGTTATCATACTGGACGGGGTAGTTGGGAGATGTAATGACACCGCTGGGGCCTCGAAGGTATATATCACACATTCTAGCTGTGAGGGAGAAAAAGAAGAAGGAAAAAGACTGCGTTGGAGGCAACTCTTGAGGCTGGATTTACTTGTTAAGGAAGCAGGAAGGAAAAGGAATGATATTAGGTGCAATACATAGTCTGCTATCCATCAACCAAGACATGGGATAACCTTGGAAAATGTTCTAAGGCAGTGGTTCTCAACCTTCCTAACGCCGCGACCCCTTAGTACAGGTTCTCACCTTGTGGTGACCCCCAACCATAATGTTATTTTCGTTGCTACTTCTTTAATTTTGCTACTGTTATGAATCTTGATATAAACATCTGATATGCAGGATGCATTTTCATTCACTGGACCAAATTTGGCACAGATACCTGATACGCCCAAATTTGAATACTGGTGGGGTTGGAGGGGATTGATTTTGTCATTTGGGAATGTTGGAGTTGCTGGGATTTATAGTTCACCTAAAATCAAAGAGCCTTTTGAACTCCACCAATGATGGAATTGAATCAAACTTGGCACACAGAATTCCCATGGCCAAGAGAAATACTGGGAGAGTCTGGTGGACACTGAACTTGAGTTTTTGGAGTTGTAGTTCACCTACATCCAGAGAACACTGTGGACTCAAACAGTGATGGATCTGGATCAAACTTGGCGCAGATAATCAATATGCCCAAATATGAACATTGGTAGAGTTTGGAGAAAATAGACCTTGCCATTTGGGAGTTGTAGTTGCTGGGATTCATAGTTCACCCACAATGAAATAGCATTCTCAACCCCACCAATGATAGAATTGGACCAAACTTCCCACACAGAACACCCACGACAAAGAGAAAATACTATGTTTTCTGATGGCCTTTGGTGACCCCTCTGACACCCCCTCGCGACCCCCACAGGGGTCCCGACCCCCAGGTTGAGGTTCTAAGGCATCCAAAATATGCATGAGGGAGTCTAACAGGCTGCTATCCTATAAACTGCTATGTAAATCTAGAAATTCTAGTATAACGCACACACACAAAACTTACCAATGTGTCAATGGAAGCATTTGTGCTTTTCCGTCTCTACAGAATGGCCTTTGACTGATCCATGGGTCCATAATTTTGGCCCTCAAACCTGTTCTCAACTTATACATGAGGTCAACTTGTACATGAGTATATATGGTAACTGTTTCAGCCCAGTGTTGCTTATAGATTTTTCCATCGGTTTGCATGGAAATGAGTACACACACCTGTACATTTTCGAGTAATCTTATACACATGTCTGAAAGTTTTTTTCAAATCCAAACTTTTTCGCTTACTTCCAATAGGTAAACATTGAATATAACGGTTGGGTTTCATCCCTGGACTGCACAAGTCTCCAGTTCCCAGTGAGTAGATAGACTTAGAGATAGGATTATAGTGAGGGATTCCTTTCCTCACATTCCAATGCATGCTTTTCCCAGAAAGGGCTTTGTCTTTACTCTTCTTGCTTGCCCCTATCTCCTCCCCTAACGGGAACGACTTACAGGGAGCAGTCCACCCCCCCTGTTTAAGGAGCATTCATTTTCCGGTCCCAATTCAAGGTGCAGGTTCTCACCTACAAAGCCCTGAACGGTTTGGGACCCGCCAACCTACGTGACCGCATTTCCGTTTACAAACCTACGCGATCTCTTCTATCATCTGGAGAGGCCCTGCTCTTGTTTCCGCCCCCTTCGCAGGCGCGATCGGTGGGGACGAGGGAGAGGGCCTTCTCTATGGTGGCCCCCCGATTCTGGAACTCACTCCCCAAGGATATCAGACAAGCCCCCACATTGGCAGTCTTTAGGAGGACCTTGAACATGTGGCTGTTCCAGTGTGCCTTCCCTGAATAAAGGAAACAATGCCCTGATCTGACCAATTTTCTGCATTATGTCCTCTGGAGCACTTTATCTACCCGTTGGATTGATCTCTCTACATTACCCTTTAAAACCCCCCTGTTTAGACATACCCTACTTCTGTTAATTTTTTTTTAATCTACTACATCTGGCCCTGGCCACAGTGTTTTTAAATCTCTTGTGCGTTAGTTCTTATATGTTATTTATATTATTTGTATTGTGTTTTACTTGCTTGCTTTGTTGTTTTACTGATGTATTTTTGTTGGGCTTGGCCTCATGTAAGCCTCCCCGAGTCCCCTTGGGGAGATGGTGGTGGGGTATAAATCAAGTTTTATTATTATTATTATTATTATTATTATTATTATTATTATTATTTTGAAGATGTAGCAATGGAATCTCTGTGAGGGATGAGGTTACTTTTTCTTTAAATGTATTTTTATTGCCTTGGGTTTTGGCCATGTGGTCATTCTCCAGTGCCTTCTCTCTGCCTTTCTCTCCTTTCCAGTGAGGATGCATTTTGCCTTTTTCTAGGCAAAATGTAGCTGCATGGATACTTTGATATTTTATCCTTTTACCTTCCTTAGAAGATAGGTTTAGTAAGTTAGTTAACTCAAAGACTTTTTCTATCTAGAATAATAATAATAATAATAATACCACTTTATTTGTACCCCGCTACCATCTCCCCAAGGGACTCGGTGCGGCTTACATGAGGCCAAGCCCAAACACAACAATACAAGCCATTAAAATAAAACAGAGACTATTTATTTATTTATTTATTTCAATTACTTATACCCCGCCCTTCTCACCCCGGGGGGGACTCAGGGCGGCTTACAGAGGGGCACAATTAGATGCCCAAACTATTAACAGCAATACAAATTACAAAAACAGTTCAACAATTAAATTAAAACATCAATGCATAATAAAATAATAAAACAATCTCATAAAACAATCTCAAGCTCAGGGTTCGGAGTCCATGTATCCATTCCATTCCATTTGTCCTTGTCTAACGTCAGATCCTTAAGTTAGTTGTCAGAATGACCAAAAGCTTGGTCCCACAGCCAAGTCTTCAGTTTTTTCCTAAACGCCAGGAGGGAAGTCACCGATCTAATCTCCCCGGGCAGTGAGTTCCACAGGTGGGGTGCCACCACTGAGAAGGCCCTGCTCCTCGTCCTCGCCAACCTCACTTGTGACAGTGGCGGAGTCGAGAGCAGGGCCTCCCCAGAAGATCTTAAACTTCGAGATAGGATGTAGAGGGAGATCCGTTCGGACAAATACACTATAAACATATAACATTATCAATAAGACAACATACAATTAAAAACTATGGGAAGGCCAAATGTAAAAAATTAAAATTGGAAATAGTGCTGAGGCATAGACGAAAAGGTGATAGTGGCGTTTGTGCAAGACATACGAGCAGACCTAAAAATATAAAGTGCTTTGGAGGGACAAAGTGCTATGGCATCATTATTCCGGGAAGGCACACTGGAACAACCACGTCTTCAAGCTCCTCCTAAAGACTGCCAGGGTTGGGGCCTGCCTGATGTCGATAAGGGAGTGAGTTCCAGAGTCGAGGGGCCACCACTGAAAAGGCCCTCTCTCGTCCCCACCAATCACGCCTGCGATGCTGGTGGGATCGAGAGCAGGGCCTCTCCAGATGAATGAAGAGATCGTGTGGGTTCGTACACAGAGATGTGGTCAGAGAATGGATTTCTTTTCTAGAATAACTATTTTGAAACCCAAAGTTGTGACTCTGCAATCATGTTCAATCCTGTTGAATGGAAGCTAATCCTGACTCACTACATGTAAGTTTCTGTTGGTTATGAAGTGTGCTTCAGACACTCTGCTATACTTAGAATCATAGAATCAATAGAATCATAGAATCAAAGAGTTGGAAGAGACCTCATGGGCCATCCAGTCCAACCCCCTGCCAAGAAGCAGGAATATTGCATTCAAATCACCCCTGACAAATGGCCATCCAGCCTCTGCTTAAAATCTTCCAAAGAAGGAGCCTCCACCACACTCCGGGGCAGAGAGTTCCACTGCTGAACGGCTCTCACAGTCAGGAAGTTCTTCCTAATGTTCAGATGGAATCTCCTCTCTTGTAGTTTGAAGCCATTGTTCCGCGTCCTAGTCTCCAAGGAAGCAGAAAACAAGCTTGCTCCCTCCTCCCTGTGGCTTCCTCTCACATATTTGTACATGGCTATCATATCTCCTCTCAGCCTTCTCTTCTTCAGGCTATGGTGGAATCACCCCAAATGAGGTTTATTTTTTGAGTCTAATGGCTCTGATTCCCAAGTTGATTCAGCAGGAGGAGAGGTGCAAGGAAAAGTCAACTGCTGTAGCCTGTCCTAGCTTGTGTGAGTATGTGCTTTGCAACAGAAAGATATCTGGCAAAGCTTTGAGTGCTGGTCAATGTACAGATGTATTGATAACTCAAGAGTTGGCCCATATATACTTCTTCCTACTCTTCACCAACAAAAAATGTGGAGACAAGACTGATTTCGCGAGGCAAGCTTGGCTCCTAATCCGATTCTTGGCAACTTTATTAAATCTGGGTTGCAGTGTGGCTTCCTCCAGAGTGTGTGCTTCACCCACGCTCAGCCTGGAGGCTGAATCAAATCCCAACACCATAAATATTTAATAGCAAAGAGATGAATTATGTCTGATTTTTCTACAGACTCCAGGATGATGGAGGTGGTTGCCCTTTTGAAGAACAGATTTTATTATAAAATAGCATTTCTCTGTGTGTGGGATGGCGAGAGAAAAAATTAGGAAGATAAGAGGAATGCCTTTCACAAGGAAAAGTCTCTGATGCCAGGATCACCATTCATTTCAGATTTACCAGGCATTAAGTTGAGCAGCAATGCATCCAGAATCTATTTTGAGTCATTGTTTAGGTCTGAGGAAAAGGCAATTGTTTCATATTGTCAGACTACAAGTATCCATCTTGGTTTTCATTATACTGACTAGATTCACTTTCCAAGTCATCCATAAGAGAACTTTTCCAATGCAATATTTACATTTTGGGGCTGCACGTCCCAAAATCTCCCCTCTAGCATAACCATTGGAATTGACAATACTGGTAAATAGTACCCCCCTCCCTCAGCAACAAATGTATTGCCAAAGTAGTTCTCTATAGTTTCAGGATCCAAGTCCTGGAGATGCCAAGCTTCCAACCCTTCTGTACACAAAGCATGTACTCTACTGCTAGGCAAAAACCTCTCACTGCAGTGGATGCCAAGATGGTAATTTTGGACCACCTTGATGAGTACTGCCAACATATGATACTACAATATCGGGACATCCTTTTTAAATCCCCAAAAGCTCTGATATGGACTCTTTTGATGCCAGTATTGAATATACCAGCAGTGGACAAATTGCAGAGTTTGGACACAATTTCTGTGGCACCTAAATCCTCCACCAACCTCTTATAGGTTGGGACCCCTGGGGGGTCGGCAGGGGATGTCAGAGGGGTCGTCAAACACCATCAGAAAACACAGCATTTTCTGTTGGTCATGGGGGTCCTTTGTGGGAAGTTTGGCCCAATTCTATTGTTCGTAGGGTTCAGAATACTCTTTGATTGTAGGTGAACTATAAATCCCAGCAACTACAATTCCCAAATGTCAAGGTCTATTTCCCCCCAAACTCTACCAGTGTTCACATTTGGACATATTGAGAATTTGTGCAAAGTTTGGTCCAAATCTATCATTATTTGAGTCCACAGTGCTCTCTGGATGGAGATGAACTACAACTCCCAAACTCAAGGGCAATGCCCACCAAATTCTCCCAGTATTTTCTGTTGGTCATGGGAGTTCTGTGTGCCAAGTTTGGTTCAATTCCATCATTGGTGGAGTTCAGAATGCTCTTTGATTGGAAGTGAACTATAAATCCCAGCAACTACAACTCCCAAATGACAAAATCAATCCCCCTCCCAACCCCACCGGTATGTGGGTGTATCGGGTATTTGTGCCAAATTTGGTCCAGTGAATGAGAATCCATCCTGCATATCAGATATTTACATGACAATTCATAACAGGAGCAAAATGACAGTTATGAAGTAGAAACGAAAATGTTATGGTTGGGGGTCACCACAAAATGGGAAGCTGTATGAAGGGGTCACAGCATTAGGAAGGTTGAGAAACACTGTCTTAAAGCAATCCTTTCTTTATTTTGCTACATGTAGAAAGCCTTCCACGTGTAAAAATAAATAAATACAAAAAACAAAAAACCCAAGCCAGACTCACCAGCACTCCACAAACATGAACTATCCCAATACGTCTCTTTTCATCTACTATCTCTTTTCAAAATAGCAACATGGAACAGCACAATGTGACTGGGTTGTTGTTGTTGGTGTTTTTTTTTTGTTGTTGTTTTTTGCCATTTTGAGAAGGACTGCTGAGGATGATTCAGTATGTCTATAGGGGCATCACAATTATCCCTTAAGAAGCCCCCAGTGGCGCAATGGGTTAAATCCTTGTGCCAGCAGGACTGCTGACCGATAGGTCAGAGGTTCAAATCTGGGGACAGCGGGTTGAGGTCCCTCTGTCAGCTCCAGCTCCCCATGCGGGGGACATGAGAGAAGCCTCCCACAAGGATGGTAAAACATCAAACATGCTGACATCCTCTGGGCTACATCCTTGCAGATGGCTAATTCTCTCTTGTAGTTTCTCAAGTTGCTCCTGACAAGAAAAAAAACCTCTTTCTATTCAGGGATAATTTTCTCAGCAGTGAACTAGAAATCCGGTGCTTCTCCCCAATATTTCAGATATTTTGCAATGCCCTCTCTAGAGAGATTAGGTTAGCCTTTTGGTCCAGGCTAAAAATATGGATTTTTAAATGTGCCTTTGACCTTGAATAGACTTTTTTTTTTGTCGTGTCAGGAGCGACTTGAGAAACTGCAAGTCGCTTCTGGTGTGAGAGAATTGGCCGTCTGCAAGGATGTCGCCCAGGGGATGCTTGGATGATTTGATGTTTTTACATCCTTGTGGGAGGCTTCTCTCATGTCCCTGCATGGGGAGCTGGAGCTCATCCGCCTCTCCCCGGATTCAAACCTGCGACCTGTTGGTCTTCAGTCCTGCCGGCACAGGGTTTTAACCCACTGCGCCACTGGGGGCTCCGACCTTGAGTAGACTGAAATGGGTACATGTGAGGACTGATTATTCATCTGGCATTTAGTTCATTAATTGATGACAGCCAGTTTTATCGGCAGGTACTATTATGTTCTATAAATTTGAACAATTTGATTATTACATGACATTATGTGTGTTTGTTGTGGTTGCTGTTGTAATTTTATATTGTTATTTTTTAATGCTTATGTATTGTTTATTTTACATGCAGCACTCTGGAGTGCTTTTGGGAGCTGCCCTGAGTCCCTTCGGGGAGATGGTGGCAGGGTATAAATAAAGATTTTTATTATTATTAACTGGTGCTCCTTACAGAGAGTGGTCAACCCTCCTGTTTAAGGAGCTCCATTGGCTGCCGTTCATTTTCCGGTCCCAATTCAAGGTGCAGGTGCTTACCTACAAAGCCCTAAACGGTTTGGGACCTGCCTACCTGCATGACCGCATCTCCGTATACGAACCCACACGATGTCTCCGATCATCTGGAGAGGCCCTGTTCACGATCCCACCTGCGTTGCAAGCACGATTGGTGGGGACGAGGGACAGGGCCTTCTCCGTGGTGGCCCCCCGACTCTGGAACTCTGTCCCCAAGGACATCAGACAAGCCCCAACGTTGGCAGTCTTTAGGAAGAACTTGAAGACGTGGCTGTTCCAGTGTGCCTTCCCAGAATAGGAAACTCCAAGCATCATGTCCCAAATGCATTTTACTAGACATTTAAGATTGTCTGCACACCGCACCTATCTCCAAAAACCTATCAATTTCACCTGTCATGTCCAGCATTTTTTAAAATTTTAATCATTACATTTGGCCCGGCCTTAGTTTTAAATGTGTCATGGTGTTATTGTCTAATGTTTACTGCTAATCTTTTAATGTTTATTGTTTTGTTTTATGAGTTTATGAGTTTATTTATTGTTGTATTTGTTATGCTGTTGTTTTATTGATGTGTTGGGCCTCGGCCTCTTGTAAGCCGCACCGAGTCCTTCGGGAGATGTTAGCGAGGTATAAATATAGGTTATTATTATTATTATTATTATTATTATTATTATTATTATTACTCATAGATGTGCTAATCCAAAAGGCAGGTCTGGCTTTAGATGTAGCTCCTTGTCCATTCCCCTTTGAGGAACCCTGGCCTGACTTTTTGAGAAATAAAAGTTTACAAGAATAAACAAGTAGAAGCAATTAAGCCAATCTAAGCCCCTTAGATGCTGCAGAAATAATGGCCAGCTAGGACTCCCTCAGGAGTGGGCTTGACACAGTGCACAGAACCATCACATTTTAACTTCTTAGTTTTGCTTGCTTATAATGAACCCCCAAGAAGGTGGGAATTGAAACCAATTGCCTGCCAAACTCCGTGGATTTGGCACAGCATGGTTCCTTGTCTCACCTCTACAGACGGGCCTCTGGTCGCTCCAGGCTGCAATCATACCACTCAGCTTCTTGCAGGTGATGCTCTTGGAGCCCTGCAAATCGTAGCCTTCATTGCAGGTGAACTGGACACTGGATCCTAGCCTGGAAGGTAGAAGCGAAGTCATGTCAGCCTTGGAATCCAAGTCAGGGCTAAAAACTAAGGTTTTGATTAATTTCTAATCCGAGATATCTCTTCCAAGGGATTGGCTACTCATTGTAGACTGCATCCTACCGTATTATAGTGGCTTAGGATGGGGAATGAAAGCTGGAAGCAAGCTGGATTTATCCAAATTTCTTGGCATTGTCTCCAACTGGCCTTAAGTTAAGTCAGAATTCAAAAGGGTATATGGTTGGGGAGAGAATGCAGAGGGGACTACTTTTTGTGTTACCCATCCAGTCTGAAGCTGATGTACAAATGGCAGAGGGTCTTCTTTGCTGTGGCACCTCACTTGTGAGATGTCTTCCTCCTCCTCATAGATGCTCAGTTGGCACCAACATTGATTTCATTTCAGCGTCATGTCAAGATATGAATTTGTATTTAACCTTTGGGTAGGGATGGACATTTATTTAACCTTTGGGTAGGGATGGATATGAGGACCACTGACATGAGGACCACATAAACACATAAGGTACCTATTTTGCACTCCTATGTTATATACATATTAATGGCTATCGGGACATGCAACTTCCTTACAAAGATAGTCTTCTGATTTGAAAGCCCCACTGTTGGAATATTTATCCTTTACTATCTCAAATTGTCAACCCATTTCCACATTCATTGTTGTTGTACTCTGTAATTATCCACTGGATGCAGTGGAACTCACTTCTTCGTTCTAGACCAGGGGTCCTCAAACTTTTTAAACAGAGGGCCAGGTCACAATCCCTCAAACTGTTGGAGGGCCGGATTATAATTTGAAAAAAGGTATGAAGGAATTCCTATGCAAACTGGACATATCTTATTTGTAGTGCAAAAAAACACTTAAAAATAATACAATAATTAAGATGAAGAAAAATTTAAACAAATATAAATGTATTAGTATTTCAATGGGACGTGTGGGCCTTCTTTTGGCTGATGAAATAAGATTGTTGTTCTTGTTGTGTGCTTTCAAGTCTTTTCAGATTTAGGTTGACCCTGAGTGAGGGCCGGGTAAATGACCTTGGAGGGCCATATCCGGCCCCCAGGCCTTAGTTTGAGGACCCCTGTTCTAGACACACATACTATTGCATCCTTACAGTCATGATATCGTGGTGGGATACTTTAAGAATACCGATGAAGTTTCAAGATGGGATTATTCATCCTAACCATTTGGAGTACTGAATCAGTCCTAAATAAAAACAACATCAAGTATCTCACAGGGCTCAGAAAAGTCTGCCAGCATTTTTGAATTTCAATGCTGGTTGGGAAATTTAGGAAGGAATAGTCTAAAGAAAAGGGCAATTTTCCCAAGCTCTGAAACAGACTTTACATTGATGTTTCCAAGCTCTTTTTTGAAAAACATAATAATAAAGCAATATATCATGCTTTGCAATATATCAGCAAATAGCTTGCCCCATCTTAAGGACTTGTTTTCTGGTTCAATAGGACTCTATAGGAGGAGAAAACAAGGAAACACCCTTCTGGAAAATTACTGGGAGAGACAGACCAGTAGTGTGTTTCCCATCTCAGATGTATCAGGGGTTGTTAATGTCTTCTGATGCTATTAAGTGATCTCTTCTCCTTGCTCCATTATACCTCCCTGGGACATTATTATTTCTTTGGTTCCAGTCCAGGTTTCAAGAGAGAGGAGATAGATGGGTGACTGAACATTGGAGGCACATTTTTAGTGAGCAAAATAGAAGTCAGCAGAGAAATAAAATTAAATATTGATCTACAGCCAAACAGACTCTGTCTTATACTTATGCACAATGCCAGGACCCAATATGCTTACTTTAATGCAGGAGTGGATAAAGCATGGCCTAAGACTGTTGTGGTGGCCCCTGAGAATAATTGTTGGGGACTACTGGGGACTAACAATTCAATTTCAGCCCAAAATATTGGAGTCACAGTCTTTAAAGGTTTTTCATCTCCAACACATCACCAAAGCAAATACTGAGCTACAGAGAGCCATTTGTGAGCTAAGAACTGGAAATAGTGTTTGGGATCTCTCAGGCCAGGATACATAATGCCTGGCTCCATGTTAGGATCTAACTACAGGCTCTCCAACAAAGGTAATTGTACTTGCTCTGAGTCATATAAAGCTGCATTACAATCTGGACTGCTGGGTAATAGAATACATAGAAAGGCAGACTTTACTTTAGGTTGCTGATTGAATTTTCTGAAGACACATGTCATGCTCTATGATAGACCACTTTGGGAAAACACCCAGGGGTTGGTTATGCTTCAGAATAATACAATAAAATACCAAGTCTACACAAGAGCAATGCCTTCATTGGCCAACCAAACTGCACAGCATTTAACTCACAGCTTTCAGAGTTCCATCAGCTTCATCAGACAAAGATGTTAAAGATCATACAGGAGCAAAAAAATGGAAGATATAGTCCCAGGCCTACATTTCATCTCATATGTTATTTCTTTTGTCAGTTAGGATGACCTACAACAGTGATTCACAAACTCAAGCCCTCCAAGTGTTTTGGTCTTAAACTCCCAGAAGCTTCAGCTACCTCAAATAATGAAGAGGGATTCTGGAAGCTGAAGTGCAAAATACCTTGAAAACAAAAAGTTTTGGAAATGCTGATTTAGGGGGATCTCGACACAGGCAGAAGTTGCTTATCTGTTGCTAATGGAGTTGACATTTTATTACCTTTGTCTCTAGTCTCCACATGATCAAGAAAAAGTGTAGCCTCTGACCACATTGACATCCCTCCAGACCACTGAAATGAAACTTCAAAGGGTTGCATGATATATTATGGATATTTTGTTTGGCTGATTTTTTGGCACTTTGGGAAGAACATTTGTAGATTTCAAACACTGCCTTGAGAAATCCTGTAGCAGTCCTAGACATTATCAGGAATTCTTCTATGAGAAGACCACAAATAGTAGAAGAGTTTTTGCAAAACTTGACACTGCTTGAGGCACTCGATAGTCCACATTTTGAAACAGCAGGCAGCTGACTAACATTGGCAGGCAATAATATGGCTTCCCACAACTAGTTCTATGATCCTCTGGGAGTTTTAGTCAATGTAGGGGACCTTCCACACAGCCCTATATCCCAGAATATCAAGGCAGAAAATCCCACATTATCTGAGTGTGGACACAGATAACCCAGTTCAAAGCAGATATTGTGGGATTTTCTGCCTTGATATTCTGAGATATAGGGCTTTGTGGAAGGGCCCTAGTTCTCCATTTATGCAGAATACACAGCAATGCCTAAAAAAATCTATGTCAGAATCCTCTGCAAGTTGGTTGGGGCATTTGGTTGATGGCAGGAACATGTGAAGTCAAGAGTCTTAACCAAGACTCCTGTAGAATGGAGGAAAATAAAGGAAAAGATGTGCGGCAAGAAAGAGAAAACACATCTTACCTGAAATCGTTGCCTATCCGTTTGCCTCGATCTGGAATCCCAGGGTCCGGACACATGTTATGTCCCTGGGACACACCAACCTGCGTTACTACAAAGCAAAAAAACAGTACATACAGAGATAGAAGACATGATTTGTTTGCTCTTTTAAAATATCATCTGTCTCAGTATTGGTGGATGCAGAAAGTGAACATGGGAAATTACAAGTTGGAAAAGACAGTTGAGTGTGTGCGCATTTTCCTCTTTCCCCCTCCCTCTATTCAGGAAATCAATGCTCAACTGGGGTTCCCTCCAGCCCACACCACTTGAAGGAGACAAACCTTTTTCAAATGTAGGAATCCTTCATTTCACACAAGCAAAGACATCTTAGTTAAAAGGGCACATCCCTAGAGCCATCTATTTGAAATATACAAGTGGAAAAGATACAGAGGTCCCCACCAACCCTCCACGGCCAATGTGAATGAGAGGCGCAGCTAAATAAATGGATCAAGAAATAAAGAGTAGTCGAATGTGACATCAAAAAGTGTATAGGTAGATGGGAGGAGAAGGGGACAGAAGCTGGTCAGAGAGTTTCAGAGTTCATAATCTGTTTGATTGTGGAAAACCTTCACAAGGGAGCAACCTCTTCCATTCACTGAGGGGAAAGTAACACCAGGAATATCCAGAATATCACTCATGCGCCAACACCCAGCCCTAAACCTGCATCCTTTGCAACCCTTCAAACATGTCAAGACCATTCTGGAAATAAATATTTTATAATCATATGGATCTAAGGAGGATCCAAGGATGCATTGCTTTCAACTGCAAGCTCTAGCTTGCTTATTTTTTTAAAAAAAAGTCAGGAGAAATATAATCAGACACATCAAAATCAACGGAATAAATGCCACAATCCCATCACCTGAGATTTGTTATTACCCCTTTCATGTATCCCCACTCCCAACCATTTTTTGTGCCATGATGTGGATGAAGATGATGCGGGTCTTATGTCCCATGTTGTGTTGAGTAGGCAGGTGGGTGAAAGGAAATGAGAAAGTTATTAGCAATTAATGCAAAAGCAGAAGAACATGAAAATACAAATGAGCATGCCTCATTCTCACTGTGACTTCCCTACCAAATGATACATTCATACAATGAATAGATCCTCAAAGAACTTCTAAAACAGGATATCAACAGGAATATGGACCGCAATGAAAGATGAATCTTTGCCAATGCATAAATGTGTCACACATGTTGATATGATGGCAATCAGAAATCTGTTGTTGAATAATCACATAGCAGGGTAACTTGACCAACCCTGGCATCTGACCTGCCATAGATGGTATGATACACATGTTCACATGTTTGGCTCAAAATCAGCCTATGACCAGGACTGGATTCTTCCACCATTGTGCCCAATGTGTCATGAGACCAGGAGGTGATGGTATTAGGAAACTTTGGGAGAAAATCCAAGACCACAAATATATTGACCAATTCCTGCTTTCTAGTGCAAGAATCCTCTCCCTTACTTTTCAATACATTGGCTACCAGGTTTCTTGGCTCTCAAAGAAACTCGTTGGTTGGACAGACTGGCTAGAAGATAAAGAACTGGACAATATTGTCACACTCATATAGTGCCTATGAAATGATGCACACATTACACTTTTGTTGGTAAGTACAGTATATGGTTTGCCCATCCCTGAAAGAACACAAAGCTTCGGTGGTATGGAAGTTCAATGAATATTTACATTCCTCCTTGTACTGTGTGCATGTTTGTTTCTCCCACAGAAGGTGTGCAACCCTTCAGTACAAGTATAACAAAAGATATCTCTGTAACTCAACACAAGCTTTAGCAGGTCACGTATCAGTGTTGGGAAACAATGTATTTGTTGCCTTTGAGTTTTGAAGCAATGGATTGGCTGCATCCCCAAACACTTCTACATACAGAGGTATACCTCCTCCTTCCCAAATCTCCAGGCAAATCTTTTCACCCACTCACTTAAGCATTCCATATCTTCCATATCTTTCCCGAGGTAAAGCCTCCCCTGGCATCAGAGATTAATTTTAAGTCATGTCTATAGTCTGAGGAAGGGAAAATGTTTCAAGGCAATTAGGGAATTATAATTTTTTTTAAATTGATAGTTTCAAAGACTTGTTTAATGGGCAACCAACACGATCATAAGAAATCACATCCAATATTGCACACAAAAGGCTTATCACAATAATGTATATGCTACTTTTCCAGTATCGTGCAGTGTTTGAGCATTGGTGTACAACTCTGGAGACAAGGGTTCAACTCCCTGCTTAGCCAAGTAAACTCATCCTGGGCAACTCACACACTCTCAGTCTCAGAAAAGTCCATAATAGGTTCATCTTAAGATTGCCATAAGTCAGAAACAATTTTAAGACACACAACAGGAATAGAGAAAAAAATGTAGGACTAGTCTTTGGTTGACAATACATCAGACTTGCAAGAGCTCAAACAAAAGTTGACTTTAGTTCAATAACAACCCAAAATATTTATGCACTGAACAACAAGATGTTTTGTCCAAAACATCCATTCTGGGTGGGGGGAAACCCCATCACAAAAAATTAAAAAATAATCCCCCAAAAGCACAAATCTTCCATAATCTTACCCACTGGGGAGAAAACTTTCAGAATGGATTTGTTTTTGCATGCAAAACTGTAATAGTCTAGGATTAACATCCCTAGTGTGCAGATCACATGTAACCTTTTCCTTCTATGCCTCAACACAGCTGGCATATCATTTGTGAGAAGATCTCTGAGTGCCAGATTTGGGAGTTTTTCTTCCAGTACAAACACAGAAGAGAGGATTTTGGTATTATCACAGAAGGAGAAGAAAAAGTCCAGTGCCACGCCTTCTTCAAACCCAGTGGTTCTCAACCTGTGGGTCCCTAGATGTTTTGGCCTTCAGCTCTCAGAAATCCTAACAGCTGGTAAACTGGCCGGGATTTCCGGGAGTTGTAGGCCAAGACACCTGGGGACCCACAGGTAGAGAACCACTATTCTAACCTGATACCTACTGACTTCCCTCCCACTATTTTCATTTTTTAACTGAAAGACACATTTGTTGAATGAATATGCTTTGAATGCATCTGGTTTGTTCCCTTCCTCAATATGTTCATTTCATTTTAGAAAAAGAGAGTAGAAGACAAATACAGGAAATGGATCTCGGTGGAACAGGGTAGGTTGTCACACAGTATTTGTAACTGAACAGGCCACAAAACTGAGTTGTTACAGATGTGCCTTCAAATTGTTTCTGATTTATGATGACCTTATGGAGAATGTATCATTAGGTTTTCTTGGCAGGATTTGTTTGAAGGAGGTTTGCTTTTGCCTCCTCTGAAAGGGTATGACTTGCCCAAACTAACCCAGTGAGTTTCCACGGCTGGGAGTGCATTCAAACCCAGAGTAATAGCCCAATGTTCCAACCAATACACCACGCTGACTCTCCAAGCCTTCTGTGACTTGGAGATATTTATTTTGCATGGTCTCAAAATCTAGTACAGTGGGGTCCCCAGATGTTTTTGGCCTACAACTCCCAGAAATCCTAACAGCTGGTAAACTGACTGGGATTTCTGGGAGTTGTAGGCCCAAAACATCTGGGGACCCCAGGTTGAGAACCACTGATCTAGTACATTCCAAGTTTTTCAGGATTATGCCCCAGACCTGAACAGGACTTTGTCACTGTTTCTCCCACAAGTAATAATTCTTTCCCCATAACTCCATCTCTTATATGTCCAACTCCATTCATGGTTCAGGCATCCAATTTAAATTCCCTTACCCACCTATTTTCATGCTAGCCCCACCCAATGCATCCTAGATTTTGTACCTCCATTTCTCTTTCTGTTGACTATCCAAATTACTGTCTCCATGAAAAGTCAACAGAAAGAGGAATGGAGGTATACAATCTAGGAAAAAAATACCTGCACAATTCTCATACCATGGACATCTAAAAAAGACAAATATGTCCTAAACCAGAACAGGCCTGAACTCTCCCTAGAAGCCAAGATGATTACACCGAGGATGTCATACTTTGGCCATGTCATGAGAAGAAATGACTGACTAGAAAGCAAGTTAATGCTTGGGAAAGTGTTGGGCAGTAAGAAAAAAGTTAACCATATTCCAGATGGAGAGACTCAATCAAGAAGCCATGGCTGCTCTGAGTCTTCAAGAGTTGAGCAGTGTGGTTGAGAACAGGAGGATGTGAAGGTCTCCCAGTCATAGGGTCACCATAGGATTAAGTTGACTTGAAGAGAGCAAATTACTGCTCTCTTCCCAGTGCTAAATCCAACTCTCAAAATGCATTAATCACCTTGGACACCTCCTTTAAATATATCAAAAACTCATGGTGGAGAAGATAATATCCTACAGTAGATCTTTTCCCTCTAGACTGGGAAAGGAGGGGACAGGAAAGGGAAGGAAAACAAAAATAGGAATTCGTAGCAGTACCATATCTTGCAAGCAATGCTCATGTTACCGCCACATAAGGAGAGCAGTGAAGGGGGGACTCAACAACTGTCAACGCACTTTATGAGGCATATGTGGTTCAGTCCTTTTCTGGCTATCAAAATGTTCCTCATATGAACAGTTCCATAAATACAATAAGTTATTCACAGGGAAGTGAATCCCTGTGAAAGTGGAAAATGTGAATTAAAAACATGAACCTAGTAGAACACCTCTAGGAATCTCTAGGGGCCTCTAGTGCAACTCTATGTTTAGGTTTTCTTGGAAGTTGACTAGAAGGCTGCACCAAAGGACCTAGGGATTCTTAGAGAGAACACATGATTCAAACCCCTGAATGTCAAATCTGCAAATGAGGAGGCTGACTGTAATGCCAATTCACATTTTTTATTCAAATGTAACTAATTGTACCTGTAATGTTTGTTGCAAATTTTTTAATTTGGTTGCTCATGGACTACACCATGCTATGCTCTGTTTCCTCTGTGGATAGTATTAATAAAGGGGCTAGTATCTGTTCAGCTGAGGTTTATTTGGGTTTTTTAAAACATCAGCTTCAAGATTAATGAGTTTCTTACTGTCTGGGGAAAGCAGCATCTTTAGTTAAAAGAAAATAGGCCTTTCCTTTAAAGA